GGACCAGATATAAGACGATTGAAACCGTTTAACGTAACGATTTTCGTGAAATTTATAGCCACATCCGGTCGAACTATATATGAGTATAATATATAAGTATAAACAATTGTACAATATACGTGCCTCCCACCCCCAATAGGGAAAAGTGCAACAAAATATATCCGAATTTAAATTTATCTCATACCTAAATAATAATGCATGTGACTAGGTGAGTCGACCTGCTATGAGATGTCAAAAATATAATGAGTTAAATGCTTAAATGAGATTATTTATTTCGTTGATTAGAGTACGCAATTAACCTCACAACTTCACAAGGTACATAATACTAATTATATACACTAAGATGCGGACAAATATGAAATAGACCAGAAATATATTATTTAGGCGTATCCGAGAGATTATTAATATACATAAATCTTTGACTTATTTCCCTGTAATATTAAACATATTCAAAAAATTCATCATCAATAAACAACATAATATAGTATTATAGTGTCTACTCTTACCAATGCCTTACGACACTCAAATACACCTCCTGGCAATCACCTTTTTAAAATACCCAACCATATCAACCAAAACAGGAAGTTCCGGGAAGGTAAAATTACTGTTTCCTGATAAGAAGATCCGATCAAGAACAAATCATTAATGATTTGTTGTTACGGTATTACAGTTAAAATAAAATTATTGTATACTAAGCGTAGTTTGCGTATATCTGATTAGCGTGAGCAAACTATAATATGGTAGTAGGATGTGCGGCTGATAAAATGTGCCCCACGAAAATATACACGCCAATTAATAAATGATCATACCTCACATGCCCTAAAAAGTTCAAATATTTATGATAACTATTTGCATATCATCACTGCATCTTGTATTACCTACCTAAATAAAATAATAAGTTTTTGATAACATGTTTATTGAATAATATTTACAATTTTATAATTAAGTGCCGTGAACATAGATCGTACCATTCCTATAGCTGTTAATTTTATTATTTTTTCATTCTGAAAAGTATTATTTTTGGAACTTGGTTCATAAATATTACGCTTCTGTCCCAGACCCGCAGGGTATGCCAGCGCACACTATGGTCTATGAGGCATAAGTACTCTGGGCGCACGCCCATTTAACACGGATACAGGGGCGTCATTTCAATATTTGATAGGGTAGGGCACAATAATGACTGGCCCTATAACTTTAACACTTTTAAGTATATATAAAAAAAGAGCTCGCTTCGCTCGCTACCTAGCCCAATTTTTATTTCAAATATTATTTTTATACTTTATAATTTATAAAACACAAACTGTAGCCGCTTTTATTAACATATTACTTATTAAAACATAAATACCTAATCTTAACTCACATCAACATATTATTATAATCTTCAATGTAGTTTACTCTGAAAACCAAATAATTAATAATATTTGTATAATATTAATGATAGATTCCCAATGAAATATGCATTAAAGTACCAAAACTGTGGCACTGTTTCACTAAGACACTAGAGCCCTGCACGGGCCTAACTTTTGAAGTCCAAGCCCGTCCAAAATACAATTTTACTAATGATACCCGGCCCGGCCCGATTTGTTTCACTTGGATATACAGTCAGGCCTGGCCCGGCCCGATTAATTTCTTTTAAATATACAAGTGAAGGACCAGGCCCAGCACGAACCCGATTTCGGTGACACCAAGCACGGCCCGGCCCGGGCCAACCAGGGGACAAGCCGGGCCAACCAGGCCCATGCAGGGCTCCATAAGACACTAGGTACTTAAAAAATTAATTATTAGTCAAACACAGTACACAGTACACACTAACCTAACCTAACCTAAGTCAAATTAAATTCATAATGAAAAATCCAACAATCGTTAGTCATTAGAAAACCCGGCCCGCTTAGACCACCGTGGGCCACCGGCCCATTTGGCTACTTTAAAATCTAGGGTTGGACAAATGCATACTCTTGCCCTCCCCCCAAATGACGCCCCTGCACGGATACCTATTATATTATAATGGTCATTGTATTATACTACTTCTAATACTTTCGATAATACTATTGTATGTCGATTCGTCAGTGAGCCGTGCAGACGATGCGACTAATCGACATTATAAACAATTATATTATATTGAAGAAGAAATGTGTCGGATAAAATATTTTTATAATATATATAAGCGAAAACCTTGCCGTGGTAATGACAATATGACATATATATGCGTGTATAAAATACGTAATGGGCGGGTGTGGAGTCCGTTGGCGAGCGAAACTTTAAAAAAAAAAAACTTGCCAAAGGAAAAATGAGAGGCGCGTTTGCCCGACAGCGATTTCTCAGTATACTCGCCCCACGCCCACTTCTGCTTCACGCATTTCCAAAGTACTGATAATGCAATCAACGCGGTGCGCACGCACAATGAGCGACTGATTATTATTATATGTATTATAATCATTATTGTAATCATAAAAACTCTCACGGTGCGATGAAAAGTTTAAAAATAAAAAAATAAATGTTTGGAAGTAGCGATAATAGTATGTATGTACATAGTAGTCCCTCCCTCGCACCCCTAGAGCGAACCCGGTCGGGGTTTTCAATAGATCACTGATTTCCACACGGACAGCCCTCAACCGTCGACAGTCATCACGGATTATTTATTGGAGTTTTTCGGGACCGTTCTATATATATATATATATAGGTACCACGTGTCCACAAAAACATGGTACACTCTGTAACTTAGTTACCTACTTATATCATTTAGCCCGGCACTATCATATACCTACATATTTTTGAATTTTGTTTTCAACCACTGTGGACCATAAAATCTCTATAAATATTTTAACTTTTGTAATTTGCGCTAGTGTGACAAGTTAACTTTCTCTGTGTACCCTGTTTTGGTAGATACACGTTATAGTATATGTTTTTTAGTATGATAATAATACGATTAATACGTGTAGAACTGCAGCTCTAATATTAGTTATAGTGGTGGTTATGGTGGTTATGCGATGGCGGATCAAAAACTCGTAAATGGAGGGGCGGGAATTCTTAATATTTATATTATGAAAACTAATATAATATACCTGTAGGTATAATGGCGTTATGGCGACTATTGTAGTATAATATGTTTTGACCATATTTTTTGCATAACCGTAATACATAAACAATAAACATCGTATAGGCCCCCCACCCCAAACCTGTAGGACCTCAATAACTTTTCATTCCCCTCCACCCGCTCTACTGCAAAACTATCTATCTATGTAAGTAAACAATGTACAAGTGCCTTCTATTAATGCATATATCTAAGTGAGTTGCTATATACTTAATAATATTATAAGTGGCAAAACTCGTATATACATTATCATGCTTGTCGGGAGGGGGGAACTTCCAAGGATTCATTGCGCCGATTTGATATTGCAGTTTTAATATGATAAACATACCTCTCTATATATATGCCAATTATCGCGACGATGTTAGGTATATCCAGCACGCCACGTCACGTATACTCATCAACAATAGTAACAGGTATACCTAACTATATATAGGTACCGCGGACAAGTCTTCGTCGTCCGGATGAGGTTTTCGGAGCGCTTGCGCACATTTTCCGACTTTTCCCACCGCCTCCGTCATAGGTATAGTCGCATTATACCCATCTATATACATATACATCCACAGGCGACTTCCATCATATTATTGCCACGGGCAGACGCGATACACTCCTCCGTTGGACCTCATTTTCAGCATGCAAACGATGCACATCGGCCGATCCGTCGTATGTATCATTTCCGCCGCCGCCGCGAAAGTCGCACGCGTGTTGGCTCCCGCGTTCTTCGGCACAGACTGCGGCGGTTATTTACCCGCAACTCGGCTCGCGGCGGAGGTCTACTATATAATATATTTATAAATTTCTTCTTTTTTTTCGGCGTATTATTATTCCGTTTCCTCTCTTTCCCCCGTCCCATCGCCCGTCGTCGCCCGTCCAATATGTATGTATGTATTCAGAAATTATTATTCATCGAGTGGCCGCCGCCGCCCTTCCCCGCCGAGCTAATTACCAAGTTAATATACACGCGCGGTATACACTCGCACAACCCTAGCTGCAAGGAGCCGTTGCGTGAAAGGCGCAAAGCTCATGCAAGTTTCATCGTAAACGGTCCGACCCCCAACCCCCCCGCGTACAAAACGATCTCCTCATAAATTCCTCCCCTCCCGGGCGTTGTGCATTACGCAAGCAGCACATCAAAAATCGCACGGCCGAGGTCGACCTCCCTGCTTATATAATAATAAAATATATTATCCCGTAGAATAAAACATATTAGGTACCTCCTATATATATATCTAGCTATGGCATATGGGGGTGGGTGGAAATACACTCGAACACAGCAGCCACCATATCTTCTAATCCCCATAGTACCAAATTATTGGTACAGAAATATTAATTTGAATTTATATAATAGCCATGATGTTATATAGGTCTGTTAAATGACCTTAGAGGTTTAAGCCACCCCGATGCAGTAGCTGCATAGCGTAGAATCCTGCTAAGCCCGAAAATCAAAAATCTTGAATGACCGCCGTCTAAGTTCTCTCGATGTCCTTCATTACGTGGAACGTATAATATCTGTGTTTCTTTATATATAGGTAAATCGACCTATTAATTAAAAAATTAAAGTCGGTCGTGTAAGATCGTGGAAACTATGGTGGTTGCAACTGCTAACCATATTGGTTTAAAAGTTGAGCTTTTAATTTCTTGGTACACTCGGTTGTAACCTAATTATTACATGCGATACCAAAAGTAACTTCCTATCATAATGCGATTTGATCGACAAGACACACATAACGTAGCTGTGAATTTAGTTAATATTTTTGAACACTTCCTATACAATGCTATATATAGGTAGGTACCTACGTCTTACCATTATAATATTTGTTACCTAGGTATTTCATAAACATATATCATAATTTATAGAAAAACGAACGTTGTCGTCGAGAACAAATATTATATAAATTATTCATCATCCGACATGTCTGAACCCGAACAGCAGCCGTCGACGTCGAAACCGTTCCGCGACGATGACGACGAAGAAGACGACGACGACTCGCTAGAACGGCCCGAGGCGGAACCGTCGAAGGAGGACGAGGACGACGTCGCTGTCGACGGACCCACTCTGCCGGCGGAACTGTTGGCCGAGGCGCAATCCGCCTTCGCCATGTTCAGCGACGGTGGCGGCCGGATGAACGTCAGGCACCTGTACTCGGCGCTGCGGGCGGTCGGTGTAGACGCGACCGACGAGGACGTCATCACCGTGGTGGACGAATACGATCCGACCGGCCGCGGCCACATCACCGGCAACCAGTGGACGGCGAGCGTGGCGCGCCGGTGGGTCGAAGACGGCGCGCGGCGGCGGCGGTTCCGCGCCATGCTGGCAGCAGGCGACCCTACGTCCACCGGCCAGGTGACGGTCGACCATGTGCTCGACGTGCTCAAAAAGTTCGACCCAAAGTTGCTGACGCCCGCGGACGCCGAAGAGATGGTGGCCAGCATGGATTTTGCCGGCTTGGGAATGGTCGACTACGACGAGTTCATGGAAACCATGGTCCGACCGACCCCGCTTGACGTACCAACATATCAGTAGTCGCAGGCTGTCCGCGATTAATTTTGTTATTATTATTACTATAAAGTATAAAATATAAAATTATACTGTACTTACGTGTGCGTTTGTATGACTACCCGCTGATCTAGGTATCTAATAATTATATTGCGTTTCAGTGTACTTGACCACGTGAAACAGATATTGGTATCATTGTCATTCGTCATTAGACATTAAGACCTATAGATATCTAAACTATACGGCGATGGAATATGGTTAATAACTTTAAACGGTAATTGAAATCATACAAATGAGAATTTAAACATACATAATATATTTCAGGAATGAATTGAATAATGTAAAAAAATTGAAAAAAATATTGTAGCTCTAGCTAGGTATGACTGTAGGAGGTCTATCTACCTATACTTAAAAGTATTGAATGTATCATTATTCAATAAGTAAGTACCTACAGCAATTTTATTGAAAAATTAATTATTCATATTTCCTACTATACTAAATAAATAATTGTAAGACTACTTTGAAAGTAAAGTAAAATTGTTAGTAATGTTCAAAATCGATTATATAGGATCTATAAGTATCAAGTAGTTATTATATACACTTGATATCATGAATTATAGTCTATGACTTATAAATATATTATAATAGCTCAGGCTTCAATACTTGATATTTTTGCTGAACGAAATCGATGTTTTAAATTTCAATCATATCAAGTAGGTAATATTTTTATTAATATTATACTTAATTAACTTAAATTATGTTATACATTTTCTTTAACAAAATCATTTTAAACTAAAAGAATACCTAGGTTTTGCTATCATTTCATTAGAGACCTATAGGGCGTGTAACGCACTAACAAGAGTTTTAATTTGCGTCTGCTGGTACATTTTTTTGTCAATAACAAAATAAACGAACAAGATAAAAAGTAAAAAACATTATATTAAGTTAATAAAATTGTAAAACGATGATAACGGTTTTGAAACTCGAGAATATCTTTCCGAGGGCCGCGAATTGCACTGATTATGTAGTTGGTTTTTGTTAAATGATTTGGCATCTCGCAGAAAATTCTGCTAATAACCGGAACCCAAACAGGGTATAATTCAAATCTCAAAATGGTGCAAAATCTTAGTCTATATTAATACGCAACTACACTCAATTATATAGGCAGGTAACTATAGTAACTGCAAGACTGTGTCTCTGTAGTGTTATCAATGCATAACCTGCTGAAAGGGTTGCGACTTTCGGGCCTAAGTATACATAATAATATTGTAATCCGTAGGTAGGTACATCGAGATGTTGCATAATATAGGTATATAAATATAATAATATGACGAGCACACGAGACGGATGAGAGACGGCTATATGCAGGCTGCGGACCGGCGATAAAACCGAGAAAAAAACCCACCCCGTCGGACAAGTCTTTCGGACAAAAGGGTTTCATACCCCCTCCCTCAAAAACGGCATAATATTATACATTGTATGATATGGAACAAGAGACGGACCACGGGTGTCACTGCTGCGGCGTCTACCCGCGGGGCGGTTGACGCGATATAAAAACGTCCGAATTGTACACAATAATAATAATAATAATAATAATATAATACGACGAGGCAGACGAATGTATAAACAAGCGCGGGGCGCGAAGGGGCCGAAGAAGTTTTTCTCGGCGGACGCGTTCGGTGACAACGGTCGGCCGAGTACGAATCGGCGGCCACCGGCTTATGCGTGCACGAATAATACACGTAATGATACGTATTACTACGCCACATAAACTATGATGATGGATGGACGGAGCTGCGACGAAAAAAGGCCGCGGCTGAGGCGTCGTCGGACAAAACGGGTATTATTTCGGATATATATTTTATTCCCCTCTACCCGTTTTTGGTTTTGATTGATTGCCCGGACACGGGGTGCTGGTTGTTCTTCGCGTCCCCTCGACCACCCCGCGACGACGGCACGGCCGAATTCAATATTCCGCTCGCGCCGCGCCCCGAAGCGGTTCACACGACGGTCGACGGGTCGTTAACGGTGGAAAAAAAAATGACGTACAACCTATTATATAATATAGGTCGGTTTTTTTGTACTTTTGTCATTGAATTTTCGCAGGCGATTTGGTCAGATAGGTACGTACCTATAACTCGTATAAGGTATGATGAGTCTTGTCGAAAAACTACGACGCAGCCATAATAACAGGCCACCATAAATATAAAAATTATAACAGCGCCTACGAGATTGTTGTTAAACTACGTTGTTGCCTAAAAAACTAAACTCCTGTGTCCCAAGTTGCGAAGATCGTAGAGCTGATCCATACAAAACAAATAGATAAAGGTATCTTAACCCAAGGTGTTATTAGTCATGTAGTTTAATTTTTTTGAAATCTCATTAATTTTGTTTAGCAATGTTGAACCAATCGTAAAAAAACTTTTTTAAATGCAGAATACATAAACTTAAAAAAAAATATTTTATGAGAATTTTTAAATAGGTACTTATTAAAATATATATATTGATTAAAAAAAGTATTACTTTTTGAATTAATGAGTCCTATACTTCAAAAAAAAAAAATGTTATACTCAAGAAAATCATAAAAAAAAAACCACTTGACTCAGATAAATGATTTCCCAGTTAAGTTTTCTAAAAAGCAGATTCACAAATTGGCTACATTGAAAAAAAATCAGATTTAAAATATTTTATTTTTAGTATTAAAAACTATTATTTTATACGTGTAGAGCACGGATTATTAAATTATATATGACAAATAAACTTAAAAATATTGGTTGAAACAAAAGTTATTTGTGTTTATTAATTTGTGTTTCCCGTTACACCTGTACATAGGTATATTTATTAGTGAATGTTTTCAAAAAGAAGCACTTACCTCTTTTCTGTCAACTATAATATATTGTATTATCGACAATATGTCAATATATAGGTATGGAACATCATTAGACCAAGTGTGTGTGTTTAAACACCGTATTGCATTTACGGTATGATCACTGCAATAGGCAAGTCCGGAATTAGGGAGACACGGTCCCGGGGACTATTTTGCTTTCTACCCAGCTTTTTTTTTTAATTTACACGTTTACCTATGCCCTATAATATATGCCTTTTATGTGTATAAGAAAAACAAAGGTAAACAAACACCACAAGCTTTAAATAAATACATAAACTATTTGAAAACAAGCCATGGAACCTAATATTAAAATTGTAGCTTTTTTATTAATATAATATTAAGTCTCTGCTTGCGATTATTTTCTTTTTTAATTTTACTTAGAAAATAATTAAGTACTGTTTATATTTTATGTCTATGCACGATAAGCCATTTTGGTGACCAAGACTTTACATTGGCAGAATTATTAAAGATGGGAAAGCACTCAGTTCTCAGCAATACCTTCAGGCAGGGAAATTGGTTAAGACTAGAGTAAGTCCTTGGGCCATTTTTTTTTTACCATTTGTAAGGATTTTAGGGGATAGTGTGAGGGGAAAGAAGTTGAATTATTGGAATTTTGTGATTTTGAACACATTATTGAAGTGAGAGTTAGTGACTTTATGAACCTGATTTAATGATGGAATTTAGAGATATTTATCGAAATTATAATTTGTTATGTACCAACCATGCAGACACAAAGTGTAGACAATTTAACTGAAACGTTCTATGATTAGGAATTTTGGATGAACCCCTCCCCCAACTATATTTGAAAAAACAAATTGTCAACAAAAACTAATGAGCTCCTTATGTCATTTAAATTTTGATAGATTCTTTAACTAATTGGGTTTATTAGTGGACTTGAGGCCTCCCCTTGATGTATTCAAGCCGAGCCTCCCTACTAGAGGGTTTAGTCTATCTACAATACTTAAAATATTTATAGATTTATGATACTAAAATAAATATTTTGTCATTTATAATTTATTTATTTATATTTGTATAAAATATACCTATATATATTTGAGGGCTGCTAGGCAGGAAGTTTAAAGTTAAGGCTGCTTAAATTTTGATATTGGGTAAAAATGACATCCTCCTTCTACACACAATTGACCAATGTAAAGATTGATGTCTGGGAGACCCCTAATTTCTTTCTGGCATAGATGAATAAGGTGTTAAACAGACATAACATCATAATATTTATGAACCTCAATTACCACCTATATAAAATCACAAAACTATTATTTTTTTTTTTTTTAATAATAACAGTTCACATCATATAAATTCAATGAAAGTTTATCACACTTTAAAATCATATTAAATTATGGTATTATACCTATAGCATATAATATTATGAAAACATTTTAAGTATAAAAAAATGTTTCAAACAAATAACAACAATTTAGAAATAAAAATAATTCAAAGCATTTATTTTTTAAATAGTCAAGAATTAAATGGTATAATTAAGATCATTAGCAAGTCTGAAGTCAATACTCTAAAAATAAAATTCCTAATTATTTGAACTACAATAAAATGAAATGTACAAGTTATAAAATATATTGAGCTTGAAATATTTGTAAGTTTTAAGTCGTTTCAAGCATAATATTTATCTACTCGGATATACAAAATATGTTGTAATATGAACCGAACGAGTGACATTTGTTCAAAATAACAGATATAAAACTTAGTATAATAGAAGTTTTTATATAAAATATATGCATTTCATAGTTTATACAAGTTATAATAAGTATTTAATAAATAAATAATAACAATTAAGTAATAAGTTTACGTAGAGGAAAAATAAAAAAGGGTCAGTGGAATATAATGTATTTTCTACATATTTGTGGATTAAATATATGTATAACCTACAAAATTATATTATCCATGTATACATATATAAAATAGTTTATACGATTTTTAACGCTTAGAACTAGTTATGCTTATATTTTTAGTTGCATGTTTTATATTGTATAATATAATATGTACTAAATTGTGTTTGGTACTATATAATGTACAAACATTTTGATTGAAATGTAAAATGGACATTTTATATAAAAAATTAAATAATAATTACTTCTTGAAGTAAATTTAAAAGAATTAATTTACATAT